CCCCCCCCCCCCCCCCCCCCACGCCTCCATCGTTTGCCATCGAACCACTTTAATCACTACCCCCCGTTCCGCGCGCGCGCGCGCCCTTCCTCTTCCCTTGCCCTCTCCTTCGTCTGTGTCTGCGTGACAACACACGAACTGGACCGACCGGGGTTCCAGATCTACCTCGGCGTAGAGCGTGGCGGAGCGCTCAAGCGCGCCACCCCGCAGACTCTGTTCCTCAGGGCCATCTCGCACCGCCCGGAGACGTACACCATGGAAGGTGCTAACCAGGTACGCTCGTGGTCCCGGCGTAGCGATTCCTTCCCTGTTAAGCGGAATGCCCTCAATAGCGGTTCCCAACATCTTAGAAAATCTCGTCGCACGGCGTTACACCTCGGTACCCAATCTAGTACCACGTATATTAGTTTGGCGGCGATGCCCTCGGTGGCGGCCACAACATTTTGTGGCACTATGGACCGCTAAGCCGGGACCGCGAGTATACAGCGGTAGCGGCTACGGTTTTTTGAACAGAAAGTTGTTGCAAGCCAACAACACTCTGTTGAATCCGGTTTTCTCTTTAACCACACTGCTGTGTAGTACATGCATTCTGTCATGGTCGGTACAAGCCAGCAACACCCCGCTGGATCCGGTCTTCTCTTGAACTGGTCTGCCGTGTGATACATGTGCATTTGTCATGGTCGGGACAAGCGAGTAACGCTCTCTTTATTCCGCTTTTCTCGTGAATATTCTCTCGTGTGAACCGTGGCCGCTAGCTGTATGGCGGGGGGGGGCCACTGCAGAGGGCATGGGTGTCTGCCACCCGTACGCGCAGCTCCGGCGTTGGTGTGTAGCGCCAACGATCGTTGCAGCTGCGTATTGCCGTCGATACTACCCCTCGACTGGCTCTGCTGAAGGATCTTTTCCGGGCTGTTTTTGTGTCGTCGTTTCGTGCTTGGTTTGAGCATCAAGGGCGGTGGTCCGCCCCTCCCTCCCTCCCCCCCCCACATTTTTTTTTTTGCGTCGTGTGTTTGTTGCTATTTCTTCTCCCTTTTTTGACGGTTCCACGGTTCTCTCTCTGCCATGTTTGGTTGCTTCTCTTTCGGGGTTGTGTCTGTCTACTAATGTTTGTTTTTTGCGTTGTTGCACGAAGTCGCACCCCTTCACCTGTCTTGAGGTTCTCGAAATTTCGCGGGTGGCTTATCACTCAATTGCTGCCCCATCGTCGATCGGCCGACTGACGTAGGCTCTGCTGATGGCCATGGACGAGCTGGAGCGAGCGATGCTCGACTCGAGGGTGAACCCGGCGTGCTCCTCCCGCATCTTCCTGCACATGATGCCCGAGCTCAACGCCGTGCCCAGCGACGTGGTTGCGGAATGGAAGAACGTCATGGACACCATGATCTCGAGGCACGCGACCCGCCTGCTAAAGCTGCGGGTGGACGAGATCGAGGTCAAGGCGCGCATCTCTCCCGACGGGAGCAGCGGGGTGAGTGATGATGAGGGCGGTGTTCGGCGCATGTTTCTGGTCCGATTGTGGTGAGGGTACGGTGGGCGGTGATCAGGGCGATACCGACCCAAAATCGGCCAGCGTAGACCGCAAGGCAAATCCACATGTCGACCAGAACAACGGGCAGAACCCATGAACACACGCGGGCTATTCGGCACGTGCCGAATCGTCGAATACCGTTGACACTGACTACAAATCAAATCCCATACACTTCTGAGACTTGGTTTGCGCGTTCCCGCGACTTTTTCGGCCCAAGGGAAGGGAGCAACGGAAGCAATAACACTTTTTTGGCGGTTTTGCGCACACATGTGTTTGATGCTTTTGCCTTGCCCCGTGGATTAGTTAGAAGAAGACAACAACACGACTTGTCCTTGTTAGACACGAAAAGACATGTAGATTTAGTTTAAAAAAAATCATATGGAGTATTGTTTTTATTTTTTTCAATGTCCAACGTAAGTAATCACCATCTTCGCCCTCCCTGCTCGCCCTTCTCTTCGTCGCCCGGATGAAACTGAAGAAAATCACCCCGGTCCGCCTGATGGCGAGCTCCATGTCCGGCCAATGGCTCCGCGTGGACGGCTTCCAAGAGTACCCCGACCCCATCACCGGCGTCACGAAGCAGTGGTGCTCCCTCACTCAGGGAGGGGACATCTGCATGCTCAACCCCTACCCCGCCAGCAACTCCGTCCAGGTGAGTTCATACAAGCTTTCTCTTTGGGAAGGCAGCCCGGGTTTTGCGTAATTTTTTTGAGGTGATTTTCGCTGTTTTTTTTTTTTTGCGCGCACCAGCTGGTCAAACAATAGATGTCCATCTGAGCAGGACATCAGTAAGCGTGGAAAGAAAATACGGCACTTATATACTTATGTCTCCCGTGTACTACTTCCCCTGACAGACGGGGTAAGGGGCGCGGAGAAGTACAGCAGTGTTTGCTGTGTTTGTTTCGCGATGTTTGGTGTTTGTTTTGCTCTTGGGTGGACTATTCGGTCGACGTCACCCCTTCCTTGTCCACACTCTCTCGCCTGCTGCTACTGCTGCTGGCGCTCCCCTTGCTACGGCACAGATCCGCCGCGCCGCCGCCCGCCGCATCGGCACGACATACGCCCCTGACTTCCTGGGGCTCATGGAAGTGGGACTGGTGCGTTGTTGTCTTTCACGGCTATCATCCCAAGCGGTGTTTGTTGTGCATTCGTTCTGTGTATGATTCTCGCTCCGTCTTCGCTGCGGTACCGTGGTGCGGAGCATATCGGCCGAATGGGGAAAGCCACGAAGCCACGCCGTACGATAGATCATGTCGATGTCCTTCATTCTTTTTTTTTTTATTATGTTTGATTTCAATGACGTTCCCTCCTCTGCAGATCATAGCCCTTTCGTTTGCTGTACACCACTCTCGTGTGCCCCCCCTCCTCCGCCCTGGCTCACTATGAAATCCCCAGATCGGCATGTGGAGCGAGTTCCTGTCGGAGCTGAAGGACGCAGCTGGCGCCTCTGGTACCCCTGCCTTCACGTCCATGCCTGGGCAGGTGACATGACAAAGACGGGGGCGATGAGATAGAAAACGAGCACGATAGAAGTGGACCAGGTGTTGGATTGTGGGCTTCCCCCATGCTTGCTCTCTGCCTCGCGCTGTCTCTCTCTCTCTCTCTCTCTCTGTGTGTCGCTGTCTCTCTGCCCCCCTCTCTCCACCTCTCTCTCTCTCTCTCTCTCTCTCTCTCTCTCTCTCT